CCGTTGTTTGTACTCAAGCAGTTGACCTGTTTTCAATCTACTTCTCAATCAAGATCTTGCATGGCTTGAATGCGACAAGAGCCTCATTCTGGTGCTTACGAATATAACCCCAAATTTTTCGAGAAAAGTCATCAATCAATGTCATAATCATATATCTACCACCACAATGTGAAGCAATCTAAGAGGGACCCCAAAGATCACAATGGCTATAATTGGTCCTGTGAACTCCCGTACTAAACTTCATTCTACACTGCTTCCTGAAGACACAATGCTCACAAAAATTTAGCTTCTCGATTTTTAGACTATCAAGCAAACCCTGCTTACTCAGAACATCCATCCCCCTCTCACTCATATGCCCAAGCCACATATGTCACAATCTAGTAGTATCTAAATCCGGATCCGAGGACGAACAACAACTAAACCCGTGACTGTGTTAGCCTGCAGAGCATATAAACCATGCTTCTTCAGTCAGTCCCTTTATCACCACAAGAGCACCCCTTGAACCTAAATGACTCCTCCTCCAACCTTTTTCTTTTTCTTTTTCTTTTTTATTAGTAAAAATGGATAATAGATATTTTTTTTCTTTTCATAATTGGTACTCACACACACATGCCTCTTCTGAGACTTGAACCCATGATCTCCCTTTGGGAAGTAAGAAACTGATACCGCTAGGCCACTAGCCTGTTGATAACTCCACCTCCAACCTTATAAGTGCACCCAAAAGAATTTGGCGTACCCAGGGAAATTAAATTCTTCTTCAGTTCTATATGCCTGACACAAGTCCTGTCCTCACTATACCGTCATCCATCTTGAGTCGAATTATACCAATTCTTACAACCTTGCACGGCACATCATTCCCCATCAATGGAATGATGAGATAAACCAGTCCCTGTTTGGACAAACGTGATATGAGCAACCAAATCAAGAATCCACACATCGCTAGAGCCACCGACAAAAATCGTAAGAACGTTACCACCATCTGAATTGTTACCCTCTACAATAGCCACACTATCAGCTTTAAAGGATTTTCCCTTTCCCTTCTTAGGCTTTCAACAGTCTTTTCTGACAGGTGTAGCATCTCAACACATTCATTTTGTTCATAAACTTAGAATGACCTTTGCTACCAAACCCTCCATTTTGATTTGTTCTCCCTCTAACAACCAACCCCTCTACCGAACTTTCTGTATTGCCCTCCAATGCTCTTCTTTGCAACTCCTTAGAATTCAAAGCTGTTTTCACATCTTTCATGGACAAACCTGTTCTGCCATCGTCATATCGACAAAGTTTTCATACGAGGGTGGTAAAGAACACAACAAAATAATAGCTTGATCCTCGTGCTCTATCTTGACATCAATATTATTCAAGTCCATGATGATGTCGTTTACCTCGTCAAGATGGTCTTCCAGAGACAAACCTTTGTGCATCTAAAAAGTGAAGAACCGCTTCTTTATATACAAGCAGTTCGCAAGAGATTTCATCATATACCAAGCCTCCAACTTGTTCCATAGCCCATCCGGCGTAGTCTCTCCAGAAACTTCTCACAAAACCTCGTTACTCAAGCACAAAAAAATTGCACTGTGTGCTTTCTCCATAACCTCATATTTGTCCTTAATATTTTCTGGTAGTGCATCCTTCCCCTTCAGCTCCTTGGATAACCCATGTTGAACCAACAGAGCCTGCATCGTAACCTGCCACAAGTTGAAATCGTTTCTTCCGATAAAGGTCCCGATTTCCAGAAACTTGGTTGCCATCCTTGATTCAAACCGAAAGCTCTGATAATAGTTTGTTACGACAAACGCAACGAACCAATAACACAATAAACACTCCACACAAAGAACACAAAAGTTTAGCATGGTTCGACACAAGTTGTTTCTACGTCCGCGGTGAAGATCCGGTATACGAAAACGGGAGATTAAAAGTTTCTACCTGCAAACCCTAGCTCTCATTCACTTTTTTGCGATTTTCAGTGTCTCTCAATCCCACTACAAACCCTAAGTGCCGTTATATACTGGGCTACAAGAGAGTACTAAACAAATGTTTTTAGAGAACTATTGATGAGTGCCGAAATATGCACATTTCGGCCTTTATTCTTACAATTGTTAGCACTTTAGTCCTATCTTTATTCATTGATTAGTACTTATTTGCTTTATTGTCGTTTTCAGGTTGTTATATCGAAAAAGGATCCATTCTAATACATTAAAGTCTTTTTTAAGTCAACCAAACTGCAGCGAAGAAGGAAAGCATCAAAAGTCAAAGCAGAGTGTACGATCGATCGTGGGAAAAATAGGATAGATCGTGCATCGGGCAGATTCATTTTAAAGTTCGTTTTTCGAGCTTCAATTGGAAGGAGCCATGGTGCGCGAGATTTCCTGACTTGAATGTACAGGATTTGACTCATTTTTGGCTTTGAAGAGTCCACTATAAAAGGAGTTTAAGATCTACAACTTGAGGAAGGGAGTGAGGATTAAGATCTACAACTTGAGGAGGGGAGTGAGGATTGAATTGGGGGGAATTCTAGATCTACAATTGGGGTTTCTCCCTGAAGAAGAAGATGAAGCCAAGCATGGAGATGGGAATTGAGGCCATGAAGATCACATCCATCACCTCTATGTCTGGCTAAATCATCACTTAGGGCTTGGATGAGCCATAAGCTTGTGCAATTGTATCTTTTGTCTTCTAATTTGGGGAATTATAAGTTGTATAAGTGTTTACTTGGTCTTGTGAATTCTAACTTGGTTGTACCAAGGTTTATATTGATAATTCTTCCTATTAATCCTCTAATTGGTTATATGATGTCTTATGTGTAGTTGATTGAGGATTGATCTCTACATTGAGTACTTTTTAAAATTGTGCTTAATGATGGCCATGCATTGTTCTTGCTGGATACAATTGCTCTTAGTTTGATGAATTATGCTTAGTCTTGATGGTTTGTTCTACATCTTAGATTAATGGTAGTTAGGTAGACAATTCATACTTGAATTTGATAGTTCATGCTTATTAATTGTAATTGTATTATCTAATTGATCATTGATGTGTGCTTATAGCCACATTTGCATTCCAACTTGTTTTTCCCCATTGGTTGAAGGCATTTGATGCAATTCCATGAGTTTAGTAGTGAAATCCATGCCCTAAGTCCCTCACACCATCACATTACTCTAATCTCTTTCCATATAATCTCATTTGCAATTTACATTTAATTTTTTTTTTTTTTTTGGATAAGTACAATTTACATTTAATTGAATTTCATCATTAGTTTAATCAACCAATCAACATCTTTTCAATCTCACGCTTATTGATACTAAATTCATTCCAAGCCTATAATCCCAGTGGACGATCCCTACTCGCTATACTCACATATAGTTGTGTAGTGGCTTTTATAAATTTAAAAGTTCGTGTTCTCAATTGCCACATTTTATACATCTATTTTGTTGCACCTCCGAGTTCACATCAACTATAAAAGACAGTTCTTTAAAAACAATCATTTTTTTTAAATGAGCTATCTAGAAAATAATTTTCAAAAATTGTTAACCAATTAGATTTTTTTTCAATTTTTCTGATTTTCACTTCTTAGGAAATAGAAAATTGTTCTCATAAAACTTAACCAAGCAAGCCCTTATATATTAGACAGGAGATTGCTTGTAATAGAAAAGAATGGAAAAAGATAACTCATGTGACCCCATTTCATATGGGATTAAGGCAAGGATGGTGATGGTGACGATGATGATGATGATGATGATGGTGATGGTGGTGATGAATATTGAAAATGCATATACATGTTGATTCACCTAACTCACTTAGTTGATATGCCAAAAGATCAACTTATAATAAAATTTTGACCTGTTTTGTGTTGCATATTTTGAATTATTTCATTCTACATTGACTTAACTAAATTCTTATGCAAATGGAAAGGATAAATGTACTTTGGTTTAGCTAATCTATCAAATTGATGATCTTAACGAGCTTGCGTTGCATATTTCTTATTTAAAGGATAATTAAAACAATTATATTGCTTTCTCATTACTTCGAGCGGGCTTGCTTCCCATGGTTTAACTTGTGCTTAGACTCAAAAGACCTTTGATGCCTTAATACACATTGAGCCTATGATAACCATGGTAAAATGAATGAAACTGGAGACAATTTCTATTAGTTCCATGGGCTATAATCGTGAACCTTCAAAGGTATTGGATACTATTGATAAGCTTTAATTCAAGTTGGGATTGCAATCGAACACATCATTAATAGAATTGAGGAGGGAAAGTTTTAGAAGGTTGGTTTGTGTCTTTAGGTCTTCTAGCATCTACATATGACCCCTTAATGTACAACAATATTATAGTTTAATGAATGGTCTGTCTTGGTAATGCAACAAGTGTGGAATTCTTCAATTGACGTGACTGTAGATCTCTGTCAAGCACTCATGCAGTAGGTACTTTTTGTTTCTCTGTACTTTCTTAATCTGCAGAAACTTTCCGCAGGAACTTCTAATCATCAAAATCTGAACGAAATGCTTCTAAATCATTGTTTAAGAAGTCCTAGCCCCTCGTTCCCTACTTCAACAGCTTAGAGACCACCTTTCGCTTACAGTCCAATCCTAGAACTTGCAAAATAGGCTGCCCTGCATTATTATTTTGGTTCAAAATTTCTAATCGTATTATAGTTAACGGGGGTTGCCCCCACTGAACTCAATTTCTGGCTCCACCACTGATTAGATGCATTGCAAAAAGAGCTGCCCGAGTTTAAACATTAAACATAATAATAGCTTCTACTTTCCATTAATTACAAATTTGGCAACAAAAACAAAATAGGTATTGTGGTAGTTTGAAAGAAAGCATATCTTCATAAGATGAACAGTAATTTATTGGATGAATGACAAGAAGTCCGTAAGGCATTATATTCACAACAAAAGAACCAATAAACTTTTGCAAGTAATAGTAATTTCAAAGCATGGGTTGGATAAAAAGAGGGAAAGAAAGAAAAGGCTCATTTAGGAGTTTTAGACGTACTGCAACAAAACAGAAGCACTTCAATGAATTTCCATCCTGCCCGCTACATCGTCGCTTCAAAGCATAAAACTCCTGCCATATGCACCACAGACACAAACATCAAGACCAAGAGGAATTGCTTTTTTGGTGCGAATTCCAATCAAGATCACCAGAAAACTTATTCCTGATAAGATCTTATTATGTGAAAGTGAACTTCACGAGCTCCTTTTTTATCTTTTGTTACAGGGAATGGAGATTGGACCGGACCCACTTGCAGGAAACCTTCACCCACACAGGGAGTGAGAGAGAACACTAAAACTGACAAAACATCTCCCTACAAATGGAAAGCCTTCCCCGACAAGGGCCAGGGAACCTAAAATATGTTTATGATGCTTGTCCAAGTGCATCGAAGTACACAAAAGTCAACTTAATCAACTTAAATAGTTGTTGAGCAGAGATAATGGGATAGATTTAGGTGGGTCCCTGTCAGACTAAATTCTGGTTAGCTTTGACTCAGCAAACCCTAAGCCCAACCCAGTTGAATCTGCAGACTGAGAGTTTGGCTATGGAAGATTTTTAGTTTGACAAGTAACTTGTTAACTTGACCTACAGGAGCACTGAGTCTCTCTGATTTAAATTCTTCAATTTCACTTCACCCTTTGATTAAATTTTGCCAGATTAATAAAAGTAAAGTACAAATTAAACCACACAAGACAGCAACAATTTTTTACATGGAAAAGAAAAATTACAAGATAATATTTAGCTCAACTCCAGATTCTAACCCTAAGATTGCCAGTTATTAATTTTGGTCCAACTTACTGAGTTTAGAAGTCTATCCAGACCCCTCTTGATTCAGAAAAGTTGATTTTTCTTTCTTTCAAAACAAAGTAGGCATGACAAGCAGAAAACTCAAATTGATGCAGACATTGAAGTTTCACACTTTAGTCAAGATCGCACAGTAGAAAAATAATGGGTTTTAAGTTCCTCTCTTTATGATCATCCAAAACATAAGAAAAAGCTTAATATGATTAAACCATGAAAATCCTCTCTTTTTTTCTCTTCCCTCCCTTCTTGCCCCAATTATCGTACGCTTAAAAGACATAGAAAGGTATAAATAATGTGTTCCAATTAAATCCTAAAATAAATAAATTTGTTCATGTTTGACTACAGTATTACAACAATTCTTTTGGGTATTATCCGGAAAGTATCATCACAAATTTGACTAATACTCAAATGATTGACTTGTGGACCATCAACAAAAATTACATATTTAAGGTCCTTGAGACCTCGTATTATTGATTATTTGCCCAACCCAAAGCCCAATTGTTTCAGGCTGGTTGGTGGCTCATGTCAAATTTTGAAAGCAGTAGTAAGTAATAAGTATATTAGAAAAAAATAAAAAGGATGACATCTTTTGTAGTTAACTTAAAGTTCCTTGCAGTATGTTGCAAAAAGAAATTTGACAAAATGAATTGTTACACAGTGTGTTGATTATGTCCAAAATGTTATCATGGATGCTTAATCACAGTCTGCTACAAGTAGACAGAATGTCCTTTAGATTGGAATTTTTTTTTTTTTCTTTTTTGTTAAGAAATGGAAAATTGGTAGTTCCATTGTAAATTTAAGCATACGAGCCAAAGGATTAAACTTAAGCTACGAGGAATAATTACGCCACAAATGCAAAATCTCTAGAGGCAAGTTAGGCCTCGACTTAAGCTAAGAGGAATAATTACGCAACAAATGCAACATCTCTGGAGGCAAGTTAGGCCTCGATGGTGCACAAGGATAAATAAATGGCAGTTTTCCACAAGACACTGCTCAAGCAGCTCGAAATAGAAATGTAAATGAGTTTAATGGAATAACAATGGTTTCCAGAGATCAACAACTTATGAAGGCAACAAAGAGACACTCATATAACATTGTTTTCCAAAGAGACACTCTTATATTATTAACCCCCAAACAGTTAAGCATCTTCATACTCATGAGTTAAATTGTTATGAGATCATCACCAATTATAGATTGTTAGGAATGCACTGTACCACAACTCACCTGTTCAGCATACTTCCTTTTATAACTATCAATGTGCCTGAAGATGATAAAATTGTAATGATCAAAAGATTGGACTAAGAGATTCCAAATTCATGCACTTAAAGGAAGCCTTTGAAGAAACAATGAAAGTATTCATAATTTAAACAGAACTAACCGCATATACAATAAAGATTCCCAATGAGCTTCAGCTCGCAGCCACGCTGCTGTCTGCCATGTGAATTATTGAGACACAGAAACAAGAAATACAACACTAAAGTACTTTCAGAAAAGAAGTGAAGAATTAAATTACATCATTCATATCATAGGAAATAAAGAGCAAAAACCAACCCAATATTCTTCATCCAGTACAGCTTCACGGGCAGCAAATCGGCCAAAATTTCTCCTCAGCAATCCGTAACATTCCTGGTCAGTGAGCTGTAGCCGATTGAAACAGAGTTCAGGCGACTTTGAGCTATCGCTCTTAGGAACAGCTAAGTGTCGATTAATCTGGCTATTATCGCAATGAACTTCGAGGGTTTTCCTTCTACAGTACGAAACAGGAAAGGTCTCTCTACAAGGATTTCAATTCCAATCGATCAATAAATAAATAAATAAGAGAGTTTTCACATTAAATAATTTTTAAATTTTCTACTTGCAGGTTTTATCTGAGGCCCAGTTTCGATTTGCATTCATTCGAAACCACCGAAACAATTGAATACCCTAAATGAGAATTCGAAAATATAGGGTTTCGACTTGGACGAAAACTTGGGTTCGATCTTTTTCTTTCTTTCTTTCTTTCCATTTCATCAAAGAAAAGGAAATTGATTCTCAGATTTCGGTGAGCAGACGAAGAATAAAATTATAATAAACAGAAGAGAGAGGTATGACTCACCGAGGTTGGAAAAGAGGACCCCTCGTCGTCATTGTCATCATCTCATCGTCGTCGTCGTCTGCTTCCTCCTCATCATCAACTGCTATTTCTTCTTGTTCGGTAATGAAATCCCTTGCATAAACAAAGAAAAAATATGATTTTGAATCAAAAGAAGCAACCGAACGAACACTAATTATGGCGTAGTTGGGACACTTTTCTTTCTTCTCTGGTTATTCAAAAAAAGGTAATCAAAGCTTTATTATAGGGGCAAAAATCCTCTCCATGGCCGTCCATGGAACTGTGGTGAAGCCATCTCACCCAGACTCGCCTTGTCATTGCCCGCTAAGCGCCAACTGAAGTAAACAAGTTCCTGAATTCAATTTTGTTTTACCATGTACAAATATAATATATATAAATGATATATAATATTATTTTATTCACAATCGTGTTTTGGTTGATTAACGAAGAAAAAAAAAGGGAAGGATAATAATCATGTTTGGAAAAATAAAAGATAATAATAAATTTATTATTATGCCCTTTTTATATTTTAAAAGATAAATTTTGAGATTTAAATATACAACAACATTTTTGTCCCAAGATTCGGTTCTAAGGCTCAGTTTGGTAGCAAATGCCACATTCATCTCTCTTTTCAAATCAATATTGGAAAACTCAACAACACTTAACTAATTTATGCAGTGGTATTGAGGCTAAGCAGCCGAACTCTGCCATCAGAAAATGTGCTCGTGTGCAGCTGATTAAGAATGGGAAGAAGATCGCTACATTTGTACCCAATGATGGTTGCTTAAACTATATTGAGGAGAATGTAAATCTTCGAGAAAACTAGTGTAGATCTTCTTTAATTGCTTAATAAAGTACTTTTCCATATAGGTGAGTCCTTGAAATTGAATGAATTCCCTTTCCATTTGTCCATATCGTGTCTACCAGGATTGCTTTATAAACCTTGACAAATTTATTATTCCCTTGTGGCATGCTGCATGCAGTTTTATCTTTAAACAAAGGATAACTTTATTTGAAAATTGAATTTCAGGGTTGATTCAAGTGAAGTTTGTTTGAGGCTTTATGTTTCTAAAATCACGTATTATTTTCTCTCTTTGCATAACTTTATTTGAGCATTTGATGTTTGCAGGATGAAGTGCTGATTACAGGGTTTGGACGGAAAGGGCATGCCGTCAGAGATATTCCTGGGGTCAGATTCAAGGTTGTGAAGGTATCCGGAGTGTCCCTTCTTACTCTCTTCAAAGAGAAAAAGAAGAAGCCCAGGTCTTAGGTTTTGTTGGGAAAACTTATCTTTACCTCTTGATTTGCTATGCCATATTGATTTCTTTTTCCTTGACAATTATGTCATCTTGATGGAGATGTTGCACTTCTAGATAGTGATTTTGGTAGACAATTACAAAGAGTGATTTTGGCAAACAATTATCATTTCTTTTCTTTTGCTTTCAAATCCACGATCATCATATTTGATTTATTATGTTGTTATGGATGGTTTTGTTACTTATAAGCTACCGGGTCTCATTGAAGTAAAGGTTATATCATGTCCAAAGTAAAGTCGCTCACAACTCTTGGTCATGGAGGCAAAAACTTCACGTTTTAATGGAAAAGTGATATACTTCATTCAATGGCATATTTAGACTACAAAAAGGATTCAAGGAGAGGTCTTCATTTTTTAAATTTATTTTTGGGTTTTGTTGTCTTTAATGAAGTGAACCTTAACAAAACCGTTGGATTTGAACCTCATTTGTATGCCAATCAAAATAATGATAATATCCTATTTAAGAGCAGTAGAAGATTTATTAAATTTTATAGGGTTTTTGGTTGGTAAGATCCCTACTGCTCAAGAGGTTGAGAGACCTTTAAAAAAAAAAAGTGGAGGTTGAGAGTTTAACCGGGGTATAAAAGATTTATGAAATTTTATAGGGTTTAAATTGAAAAGAAAGAGCTGAATTTCATACGAGGTTTGGGTCCGAATTTGATTAGGAAGTTACAAAACAAAAAATAGTGGTATTTGCTAACAATAACATAATGGAGTTGGTCAATCTGAAATTTAAGTATAGCATCAATATATTGAATTGATTTTTCATAATTGGGGTTGACTACCTTTTTCATTTTGAATTTTGTACAAAAATAATAATAATAAAAATAGAGTTTACTTGAGCTTTAATCAAACTACAAATCCACCATATGAGTGGACTTTTGCACAGCTAATGCACATACCCAATCTCACAAATTCACAATCAAAATGAAAATATGTGAAATATAGAACAATTACAACTCAAAACACATAGAAAAGTCATCAATTTGGACTATAAAAGTTTAAAATCCTTCTGATGTTTATGCCATTTTCATTGCATTTCCAAATAAATCATGAAAGTACAGATTTTTATTTCAAGAAATGACCTATTTTGTTTAATATTCCACTCCAATCGATTAGAGTACATGCAATCTCAAAGTTTTCCCATATCCAATCTCCAATGCGTGTCCATATTCATTAGTCCAATCTCTAAAGTCCTGTATTGAGCTCAGAAGGCTCAGCTATTCTCCTTCTGAGTGCTATTTAAAGAGGGGAAAGTTGACGCCTTCTCCACCGCCTTTTCTGTCATTGATTCTGTTAAACCACCAAACACCCCACCTCCATTGCAAACAGAATTCTTCTCTACCAATGGAGTCCTTGTGCTAGGTAAAAACGCAAGAGTTGTGGGAAGAGAGAGCGGGCTTCTACTTTCAAGGGAATTGTCATAACAATGGGAGTAAGAGCAACCCAATCTTCGGTGATGGCAATCGAAGCCTTAAAGGTTTGAAATCCCTTGTTGATGTTGCAGCAACAATATTAGTTCCCCTTGAAGCGTTTTGAACACAAACAATGGATTGACTTCCTTCATGAAGAGAGGATTGATCACGAGTGTGATTCTACAATTGTAGTGGCCCTCTACTAGTAGTATTAAGAATAGACTTTGAATTGCTAGATCTTTGATTGGTAGTGGAAGCCGATGATGATGATTCTGAGGAGCAACCATCCATAGAGCTAGCAAGAGATGTGCAAGAGGAAATGGATTTATAATGCGTTGAGAGAGAACTAGGATTTTCCGACCTGATTTTGCTTCTTGCTGAGTATCTTGAAGGAGTATTGGAGGTTAAAACAGATACATCCATTTTAGTTTTTCTGGAATATGTTTTTCTTCTCAAAGAGTTCGAGGAAGATTTAGAAGATGAACCACCACCAGGCGTTCCAGGTGAAGAACAAGAAATTGTTAAATTGTTGGTGCCAGTGAAAGAAACCGAAGAAGATTTAGGGGATGGTGTAGAGCTAATGGCATGAGTACAAGAGTCCTCAAAACCAAATTTCTTGAACACCATCGAGCTTTGACCTGTAACATTCGCATCCATTTAATGCAAAATTCTATTTGGAAACAGAAAAAAGAATCTTCAGTTTTTGTGAAAAAACCAATCTCCATTGATAGAAAATTTTCTTACCAGATCCAAACTTTGCAGTTCTGTTTTCCATTTTGGCTTTGTATGGATCCAACGTAACACTTTTGGTTCGTCGTGTTGAGGGGGAGTTCATACTGGATTCTCCACTTCTAGCTGTCTGCTTCATGATCAACGATGAATTCAAGTGAGTTAATTCGTAATTTGGAGTTTTGTTTCCATTTTAGCAATGCCAAACTTGTCATCTATAAAGCATTTTGTGGTACAAAATACAAATACAGTATAAAAGAGGCAAACATCATACTCTACTCAATTGACACATACCTTGACAATTCGTCGACCAACAGAAGCCTCCTTAGTTTTCTCCGATCCTGGAAACCTTGAAACTGGCATGGAATTCACCTAAAATTTGAAAGAAGAACTTCATTTCTTCTAGAATTATTCAAATGGTTTTACGACAAAAAAGCTACAACCCATTAACACATACCATTCCAGAGCCAACCTTCAATATCTTTAATGCTGAAGAAAAAGAAGCCGTCACATTATTGAGCAAAATTTTTATGAACCTCTAAAAATATGACAGTAAGCCTAAAAAGCCTGTTTTAGACTCAAGGCACACATATAAAGAAATACGATCATTCAATGAAATCTTTGCTATCACCTGATTAAATAATCATGGTAGGACTGAACTGCATTCATACAAGAAAGCCCAAAATGAATGTACGAAGTTACAAATCGAGCAGGTTCTGATATTGCAGCATACTTACAGTAGATATTCTGTATGCCCATACTAGCAACAATGGATGTTTTACTGGATCTCTGGATGTTGGACACTTTTATAACTGGTTTGTACTCATATTTGAGACCTGGTTTGAAAAGGGAAAAACCCAATGGTCAATACTTAACGAAATAAAAAATCAGGGAGAGAGTAGTAGAGTGAAAGACCTTTCACGTACCTGTTCCATCAACAACACTGGGTTGAAAATCATGCCCAACAATGCTCTCCAGCACCAAAGACTTCCCATAACTATATACACCACATCAATAAGAAGTAGAGAAATCAGTAGTATATGCTGTAATTCGAAGCATAGTTTCCTATTTCGCTCTGCTTTGATAATCCACTAACACAACTCCAATTTCAATGAAAAATGAGTGCTACGGAACTAACAAAAGGAACCTCAATAAACACAAACATCACCTGCTAAATAGAACCAAGAGACCAAAAGTATAATCATTATAAAATTCCATAACCAAAAGAGTAGATAATAATAATTACATCATAATCAAGTTCCTAGATTTACATCATTGTAAAAGGTTCCAATACATACTTCTTCCATAATATAGCATCACAAAGTTTCACCAAAAAAAAAGGAATTCATAGCATTCCCAGAAGTGTTTCTCAAAAAAGGAACCCATACCCAACAAAAAGAAAGACTACCCATCATCAATCAGCATCATGTTGAACCATACATCATTTTCTCCAAAATATTCTTACGCTTTGCAACTAGAACACCAAGGAATATCCTCGTTTGATCAGGATGGTTAGCGAGATAAAAGTAAGCATCATTAATTAAAAATGGCTCAAGTCCAATTGATTCCAACTCATTATAGATTTCCTCCTCCGAATGCACTTTACGATTATATTTTCCATAAAGAACATTTCCCTCTTTAATAGATTCTGCAATAGACGAAATTGCATTTGCTATGTCTTGGGTATCATTAGAGACACCACGTGAAGACCGTTTCCTCTTTCCTTTTGCACTTGAAGATGCAATAGAAGTTGCCTTAGAGGACATTGTCCTTTCAATCTCATCAGCCACACGCTCAGCATTTTCCAAAGTCATCTCATTTTTTGCTACTAGCTGATCAATACCATCAATACTTCCCAGTAACTCGTCATTGGTTGAGCTAGCCCATTGAAAACGTTTCTCCTTAGCAGTTGCAGCCTCATCACCAGTCGCTCTATCTTTCGCAAACAACTCTAGCAACTTATCATAGTTGTTAATAGATGTAGTTCTTCATTTCTTCGCTTGCGGTTTTGCCTATTACAAGCATATAAAAATATATATATATGTTAAACATTTCATAGTGTTTGAAGTAGAAATAACTCCAAAATTGAAGGTACATGAAAGAAGAAATTAAAATTATCATAGATTAAACATACTTTGAGTAAAACAATGACACTAGAACAACATAGAAAAAACATTTCAAGAGTACCCATATGAATTAGGCCTTAAACATACTTTAATAATAAAAATAACTCCAAATTAAAAAAAAAAAATAATAATACCTCAATCAATGAATTCCAAACCTCTGGCTCCGCACTCCACATCTTTGTCTCGCGACTCCAAGCAAATCCGCTCAATCCATTCTTAAACAGGTCATACCACTCATTGAAATGAGTCTTTATAGTCTTTAATCGATTCTTAATCCTATCTTTGATAAAATCCATTTCAAGTTTTGCACACAATTTTTTAACCATTTCATCATATGCTTTACTAGTAAAAGTTCCATCAACCCTATTCCCTTTAATATATTGGTAATACAGCACATCAATGAATGCATCTTCCATTTGTTGCGTCCAAACAAATCTATCTTTCTTGCTCCCTTCATTTTTGTTTGTTGTGTTACTCATTTTCTTATCTACATAACAAATTAGCAAATGAGTAGAATCCAATGTAAAATTTCAAAATAGAGTGTGACCAACAAAAAAAAAAAAATTTAATAACATCATGACAAACAAATTAACATGAGTAATATAAGATATCGACAATGCTTTTTCTTCTTTAACAATATATCATCAAATAAAACTTGAGCTACCAATAAAGTAGTAAAGACTAAGTACTTGTCATAAAAGAAAATAAATAAAACTAAGGTTTTAAGCATTGATCAAACAAGCAAAAGATTTAGACTTATAACACACATAACATTAGTCACATTTGATTTGCTACATAGTAATTCCACATGTTCATTGCAATGGTGTCCCTTAT